TTGGTATGGTCCCGTCGGCCTGAATGCCTCACCCTCACGAAGGGACATTCCACCATGGGCGGCCTCACAGCTCTCTACATCAGTTTGGTCTTTTGATTATCAGTAAATTTTTGTTCCAGATTGAAACAGATCTGTATAAAAAGAATGAAACGAGGGGAATGACAAAAATGAGCTCACTGTGACTTTATGTAAGGCCACCAAGTTCGAACTTACGTTCCTTGCCGAAACCAGGCATTAACTCCCTCCACTAGGCCATATACACTTCAGGCGCTGCTCATGCTATCTGGTGCACTTCTTTGCCTTACAAGCCTTCGAGCAGTTCTGTTGAGTGATTCAGATCCCAGGTTTTTCTGCACTGAGTCACCTTATCATTGCCCGAAATATCCCCATAAGTAACTACCTACAGTTGCATGGTAGTAGTATGTATATACCATGCCTTGATCGATGCACAAATCGAGCTAGTGTTCGTGCTCTTCACTCGTTACTACCGTGGATTTGGATACAATACCAATGGATCACCCAGTTTGTACTGACAGGAGATTTAATGAGAACAGGTCTCCTAAACACTCCAGGACATCACTCTTTTGGATGTCTGAAACATCTCACTCTTATGTCCTCCCCCAAGACTTGATCATGGATGGGCTAAGTTGAGATCTGAGAAACATCATCGTCCGAGACAACCAATCTTGGTACAAGTAGTGGATAGTACTTGTAGACATACCGTGGACCAAGTTGAGTCTTTATTACAAATATCATAGTTGACCAGATGCCAGATGTTTGTGAAAGGACAGCCGGTCAAACACACACTCTGGACTGCTGTAGGTGAATGCCGATGAGAAAGCTTCATATCTGAGACTGCGAAGTATAAGATACTGCTGTCTCAACGATGACAGATGAAGTGAAGACAACCTATAGAACGGTAGAATAAATGTTGAAGGTAAGAATAGAGAAATTCTCCCTCAAAGCTACCTCGATATAAGGTAATGTCACCACCTCGCTGTGACATTCTGGCACAGGATTGAGTTATGGACCCATAGCGGGTAACAGTGGAAACTTGCAGGGACCCCCACCATCGGCGGGGCGTGGGTGAGGTAATGTCAAAGCCGTTTTTTTTTTGCCGGGCGGTAACGTTTGGCAGAACTTTCTACGCTCCAAACTTTTTGGACGAGATCCTGGCAGCGATCAGAGCGTATGCGCCTTACGACCTGAGAACGCCAAAAGAAAAAAGAAAATATCGCCAATTTCCACGATAATTTAGTATCTCATTCTACCAAACAATTGAGCTGCAATTGAAAGGATACACCTTATACAATGACCAAAACCGCGAGCGCAAAGCGCAAGCGCGCCGAGAGAGAGGCTCTCAAGGCCGCCGAGTCCAACAAGCGCGCCAAATCCTCCCACGACGCCTCGGCCGACGGCAGCAACACCCCGGACTCGAACGATGTCGCCGACACCGCCACCAGCTCCAACGGCACTAGACTGCCCAAGATCTTGCTTGAGAAGAAGCTCTTTGTCGAGAAGTCGACCGGCCAGGACCGCATTCGCGAGGCGAAGCTATACGACCTCCTCAGCAGCGAGAACGAGACGGACCGCCTCGAGGCCGCCGGCGCCATCATTTCTAGCCTTCTCGACGGCGAAGGCGTGACGGAGGAGTGTCTGACGAGACATCTCGACTGGAGACTGTTCCGTGGTCTCGCCAGTGGCAGAGCGGGATCGAGGTTGGGCTACAGCGTCGTCTTGGCCGAGATCCTCAGCCAACTCCTCGGCCCTCCCAGAAACTTGTGTCGCGACAAGTACCCCAACCTTACTTTTGATAAGGTGCTGGAGATGTTGATGGAGAGGACGCGCTTCGGAGGGAACATTTCGGGCCAGGAGGAGCGAGACCTGTACTTTGGACAGCTGTTCGGGCTCGAGTGCTTCGTGCGCGCGAAGATCCTGTTTCTTGAAGAGGAGGGCCCCAACAGATGGATTGAGATTCTCAGACTGCTCGTCAAGCTGGGCGGCAAGAAGATTTGGCTGCGGCCGCAGTGCGGATGGGTCGTTGCGCAGGCCTTGGCGCAGCTGGACCGCCCCCGCGTCGAGGCGGTGCTGCAGCAGTTGGTCGAGCTCGGCTGGGCCAAGACCCCCGAGGGTGTCGGTATTTGGCTTGTCGCATTCGAGCAGTGTCCTGAATTGACCACCGGCGATAAAGCGAAGCACCACCATCCTCTCTCTTCGAGGAATTTGAACGACCTGGCCAGTATCCTGAAGGAGAGCGGGCAGGATGACGTGGAGAAGCAGCAGAAGCAGCAGCAGCAGCAGCAACAACAACAGCAGTCGAGGAGGGGCCACTACGTCAAGAATAAGAAGGCCAACTGGACGCCGCAATTGCACTTCGTATGGGACCTGATTGTGCGACACTTCCTACGCAAGGGTCCTGCAGGTGTTGATGAGTTCAGATCGTTCTGGAAGCGAGTTGTCGATGGTGAGCATTCGGAGTGTGCAGCTTGTAGAGACACCAAGCTAATCTAGACATCACAGACAACTTCTTCGCCAAGACCGCCACCGAGGGACAAAAGTTCAGGGGCTTCCTGGTCTTCCAGAAGATGCTTCAGACCTACGCCGATATCGACGACCTCCTAGATGTTCTCTTCAGCAGAAACCTGATGACATGCCTCATCAACCAGGCATCCCAGGAAGACCGCTTCCTTCACCGTGCAGCTCTGAAGACCTTGAAGGTCGTCGAGGAGACTTCTGCGGCGCATCCTGAGGCTACTGGCATCATTCTCGACAACCTGATCAACAATAATGGACTGTACCGGTTCGATGTTATGACTAAGAGCAAGACAGTGGACAAGATTCTTCAGCATGTGAAGGCCGAGACCGGCGAGGATGTCATCCAGGTTCTCAGCGGACCTGTCATGAAGACTTCCACGACATCGTGCGTCGAACCCCCATTCTACAGATTATCTCGAGCTTGATGCTGACTATCACATAGAAAGGACATCAACTCAGTCAAGCTCGACCTCCGTGTTTACATCGAATACATCTTCCGCCTGACCACTTCGGCACCAGAACCTGCGCTGCAGGAGCTGACATCTCTTGCCTATGCCAAGCCCATATGGATCCCGGAGAACGCGAACTCGCTAGTGACGGAGCTGAGCAGAAGCCGTCTTCAGTCGGCCTTTGCCAAGCTTTCGCGCAAGGCTGAGGACTCCAACTACCTTTGCACGGCGGTACAGTCGATCAACCCAGACTACATTCGTATGGAGGGTGAAATGAAGAAGGAGGTTCACGCCGCGCGGAAGCGATTGGAGAAGCTCATGAAGAAGAGCGCCTCTGCGAGCGAGAGCTCGACGGACGAAGTCAAGATTTCACAGGGCCTGGCGCTGCTTCACGCCATTGCCATCTTCCAGCTCTACAACGAGGAGCCGGATGCGTTCCAGCTTCTGAGCGATCTCAAGGAGTACCAGACTCGTCTGCAGACGGACGAGGAGGGTGCTGCTGAGTTCTTGGTCGAGATCTTGCTTTCCCTCGTTTCTCAGCAGTCGTCGCTTCTGCGCGAGATCTCGCAGCGGGTGTTTGGCTACTTCACTAGCCGAGTCTCGCCCAAGGCGTTGGAGCTGCTGCTGGACGTCCTCTCCGCCGACGAGAGCGCCAAGGGACAGCAGTCGCTCTTCGATGTCGACGCCGATGATATGGATGTCGAGGATATGGAGGAGGACGAGGAAGACGAATCCGACGATGAGGCTGGTTCCGACGCCGAGGTGGACTCCAACGTAGAATTTGACGCTCTCGACGCCGGCGACGAGGAGGGTGAAGAGAACGACGACGACGACGAAGAAGGATCTGGATCAGACGAAGAGGCAGACGACGAGGAAGCACAGAACCTCGCAGACCTCGACGACGCACTCGGCAAGATCCTCAACAGCCACCGCCTCGACAAGGACGAAGACGCCGAGTCCTCGGACAACGACTCGGACATGAGCGACGGCGACATGCTGGAGCTGGACGGCAAGCTGGCCGAGGTCTTTAAGCAGCGCCAAAAGGCGGCGCCGAGCAAGAAGAAGGAGCGCAAGGCGGCCAAGGAGTCCGTCGTCAACTTTAAGCGGCGCGTGCTGGATCTGCTCGAGATCTTTGTGCGCAATGAGGCCGGCAGCCCGACGACGCTGGCGATTCTGCAGCCGCTGCTGCAGCTTGTTCGCACGTCAACCATCAAGACGCTTTCTGATCGGGCGTTTGAGCTGGTCAAGGACTATCAGAAGCGCGCGCGCAAGGCGAGGTCCGGTAATAGTGGCAAGTCGACCGAAGACGGGAAGCTGGACCTGGAGGAGGCGGTTGAGGTTCTGAAGGGCGTCTACGCCGAGCTCAAGGCCGGCGAGACAAAGTCTCATGCCAAGGCTGCGGTGCCTGCCTGCCTGATCGCTGCTTCTAGCGTGTTCCATGCCGGTAAAGGTGACCGGGCTGCTGTGGATGCCATTGTTGGGGATGTGGAGGATGCCTCGGCGACGCAGCTGGAGATAAAGAAGGCATGGGACGAATGGTGCAGGAACCAGGAGGCTCTCAAGAAGAAGGCGGCCGGCGGTGCTGAAAAGAGTAAATAGGTGGAAAGACGTGGATAGTGTCTGCTAGATTTCATTCGATACAAAGCTTTTGTTTCTGGCGTCTGGGCATGGGATGGGAACAAAGATCTGGAATTGTGTCGCGTCGAAAAAAGCATTGGCCTCATGAGGTACAAGGAAGGTTCTGGGTTCACAGTCTTGAGCATATTTAATACACAGAGCCCAACTTCCACAATTCACACAGATTTCACCGAGCTTCGTTTCTTCTCTTCTCGCCTACCTACCTACTCACTCGGAGGTGGCTGGCCCTTACTGCTGTCTTTTACATTTCATTTTGATCATTATACAAACCAAACTGCTTCAAATGGGAGAACACCTACCAACAGACTTTTTCTTGCCCATTCTAACCCAATCAAAACCAGTATACAACATTACCTCTCTATCCCAAATAACAATCGATCAAAAATCACCTTCAAAGACTCGACCCTGACGCTTGGGGTTGATCCTAAGCGGAACCTCAACAGCCTCTAAGGTTGCACCACTGTCGACAACCGTGGCATCCCCTGGGCCAAACTCATGCACTTCAATAGCTTGAGCGGTTTCAATCTCATCAACATACCAGGTGGCTCTAGGGCTCAATATAGCAGGAGTTGGCGTGTGGAAATGGGGAGGCTCCTCGCCGCGCAGCCTAGCAAGAATCGAATCGTCCCTGCTCCACAGCAGGGCGAAAGTGACTGGGTCAACTTGAGGGGGCTCTCTTGCATCCTCACCATCGAGGTCTCCAGCAGCTTCTTCTTGCGTCGACGACGGACTGCTGGAAGAGAGGCTCTGGCTAGTCGAAGTAGATGTCGGACTACCCGTCTCTGATCCGGTCTCTAGGTCCCAGAAAGAGAAGTCGTTGGGAAGTCCCTCATGAGCCAGGGAGTCGGTGGAGTGTGACCATCTGGACTGATTTCCGTTGTGCGCACCAGCAGGAAGGTCTTGGATAGGTGAAGCGGAGGCTGGATCCGGGTTACGCGCTCTCAGAGTACCTTTAGCGGCTTCAACCTCCCTAAGCCATTGGGAGACGCCGATCTGGGTTTGGTCGAAGGCAAGGGAGTCTGTAGACTGAGTCGATCTAAAGCCTGGATTTTCGTCGGACTCTGAATCAGACTCTAAATCCTCGCCGAGTCCTATTGTGGCGTCCCCTAGAAGCTTTCGATAGCTTTTCAAGGAGGAAGAAGATGATGCTGGAGACTCTTCCGTGGGTAGAGGCAAGGGGGATACATAGTCCGCGGCTTGGTCAACCTGACGCCCGGTTCTTCCCAGCAGAATGTTAATGATGCTCTTCGTACACATTTTGGAAGTTGTGTGTGGTGCGAGCTAGTATTCTTCTGAGCGCGTATTTCGATTCGTGATGAGATGGTTTGGAGGTGTGTGACGAACTTGGGTGTGAGTGTAATGGATTTATTGACCTCGACAATGGATTATCACCCTATTTAAGCTTATTCTTTGAGGCAAGTAACGACCTTGGGTAGTCGAGAACGACCCAAGGCCGTCCGACTTGAATAATGTGTAGGATTGAACAAGGGCATTGTTCTCTGTCTAGTTGAAGGAGATATTTAGCTCACAACCAACTCAGGGGCACCCTTTGCCTATACTATAGAGTCTATTCAAACTCAACAGATCAACAAACCGACACTGATTTAGTATCACACCACAGATTCTTTCTATAGCATATCTTGGCTGTACTTGCCCAGTTCTTCTCCCAGGGTTGACTGGGATCATTCAAAAACGATTATTACTTTGGCAGTAAGCAGCTGGAACACAACTTCAACAAAACCGTCACTTGATGTTTAAGGGTTTGCTCAGATTCGAGTCGGATTCACAGCAGAAAAAAGGAGGGTCAGCTTACAGTGTAGACTGGAAACAAGTACTTGAAGCTCACCCATTGCGAGTATCTCCGAACCTCATTAAGGTACCGTATACTACCTTATTGGAATCTCTTCAAGTCAATCTTGTATAAGGACCCTTCCATAGGATAGAAACTTTGCTTGAACATGTACCCCTTTGGACCGCCCTGCCGCGCCGCCGGCTACAGAGGTTTTGTAGCGCAACACCTTGGCGGGTAGACGGCCGGTGATGCCGCCAAGGTCGGAGCCGCCATACCTTCTCTGCTTCTGGCCCGCGAAACCGCGACTGACATGCCGTAGATATTCTCGATTCAACTTGATGGATCCAAGTACCTTGCTATCGGAGAAACCCACCATATATTCTTAACAAGTCACGAGTACAAGAAAACAGTTTCGAATGACATCAACCTTTACTGAGCTGCCCATTCCTTTCCGCGTCCTGGAATCCGTGTATAAAAGTCAGTAGCTCGCCTTCTCGATACTCTTTTTTATCTTCTTCCTTCATGTATCCACGCTTCTTCAGATAAACCAAACAAATCCACGCTTCCTCCAAGAAACGAAATTTGCCAAGTCGCCACCACCCATACCAAGCACGACCCCGACAATGCATCCTAAACTATTCCTCTCCGCTCTGCTTGGCCTCCTTGTGGCACCCAGTGCAGGCCTCCCCGTTCAACCTGACGAGACACTCTCTACCTTGGGCCCCAGTGCAGATTTGCCCAGTCAACCTGACGACAAACTCACTACCGTGAGCCCCATAGATGTTGTTGATAATATCCCGCATGTGGCAGCACTCAGGAACTACGTAAGTCCAAAAAACAAAGAAGAAGCGGAAGAAACCTGCGATCTCTTTGCTATACCGAGATACCTAGACGCAGATAAATTTTGAGCGCATGACAGGACCATTTTCTTTTAGTTCATGTTTCTTTGGGAAGAGTCTGTCCAGCTAACGAAGCCACAGGGTTACTGTGCTCTCCAATGCACCCCGGAGCTATTCATGCTGCTCACGGTCGTCGACTGCATCAATGATTGCATGGGGGAGAGAGGATATGCAGAGTAGCATGGCCCAATATGGCCAGACGAAATTAAATGGATATGGAAGGGTCTTGAAGGGTGAACTGCGGTACATGGCTACGCTGGTGGGCTATTATCACGACTTGCTGCCGGACGAACTCGCCAAATAAGATGTCAACTTTGCCGAATGAAGTCTCTCTCACACGCCAAACCTTTAGGGAAATCGACACCATAAGTAATTAAAAGTTCAACTCCATGAGTTTTCTATAAGGTAGTCTGCGAACACGATGCGCCTTCCCAAACTTGCCTCAGAACTTACATAAAGACTGGCCCCAGCCTCCATCCAGACATATCAATGATAGTTTTCCATACGTCTTACAACCTAATCTCAATAGTCTCAGGATGACTATGCCTATATGATCGATGACCATATATTCACCTTCCAGAATGAATCACAGTCCTGTCCCATACATGTATACATCTTTAAGCCCTCGTCCTCGGCACAAATTCACCTCAAGTTCCAAGCTCAACTCTCTCCCACCACCTAGATCTATTCTCAGACCTGTCCATCTGTTCAATCATGTTGTGAAGCCTCAGCAAACCCACGATTCAAAACAAAACCAGACGACCCCCTAATCAAGCACCCCATTGCGCCGGTCGATTATCCCAATACCCCTCAGGATTTGCATAATCCCGCAAGCCGCCATAAAAACTATAGTCCCGGGTTTCCACCATACCACCCTGCCTGATATTCGGCGAGAAATGCGGCCCAATCTTCTGTCTACACAACGGGCAACTAAACTGCGCCGCCCAGGTCTGCTCCGTCTCCTGCCGCCCCTCGGGAGCCCCGCGGAGGTCGCGCAGCGCCAGCCAGCTCTTGAGGCACTTGCGCCCCACGTACTGCGAGCAGCAGGGCAACATCACGGGCTCGTGATTCGGGTACTCCTCCCAGCCGGACATGCAGATATTGCAGTTAGGCGTGCCGTCGGCGACGGCTTGCTCGGGCAGCACGGAGTACTTGTGCGTCCTCGCGTCCGCCGAGCGGTTTCGCGACCTCATATCCGCGAGCGCGAGCGCCGTGTTGCGTTCAATCGCATAAATGATATTTTGACCTTTTTCGAGCATATTGCGGAAGTGGTCGACAGTGTCGAAGCTATGCGGGACGATGGGCCAGTGGTGCTCGACCCAGTAGACGCACTCCTGGACCAGGTCGTAGGCGGCGAGGTCGTTATCCAAGGTCAAGTAATCCGGGTGCGAAGCGTGGGGTATGAAGTGCGGGTTCGGCCACGGGTTGAGCACGGCGAGCAGGCCGCCGCCAAGGTACATCATGATATCCTCGTCCAGGCCGGCGTCGAGGGCGAGAAAGTTGTACAGCCAGCACAAGAAGTAGTAGCGTCGCCACACGGTGCGGCTCCAGTCTTCCTTGCCCAGCCATGGCATTTTATGGGAGTGCCAATATGCGCTCGAGGGGTGCTTTTGGGATTCCTCCGAGCCTCTGTCTGATATCGCGTCGCGGGCTCGCTCCGCTCTCTCTTTGAGCTTGAACATGCGGCGGGAATAGGTGTCATGGCTCAACGCCACAAACGCCATCTGGTGACCGGGCCAGTCGCGCGGATCGTCGTGTAGACTCTCCAGTTGTAACGCCCTATCAGTCGGCCCCATGACGTGATCCCATACTTCCTCTTCCTCATCAAATACCTGTCCTGAGATCTCCTCGGCAAAGGCCTCGAGGGTTCCTTCCGAGTCGGTTCTGTTCACCATATTCTCGAGGATATAGGTTGCTTCGTTCTTTCTCACGGCGAGCGCAGGGTTGACGCGCCACTCCTCGTTCATCGGCTTGCACTGGCAGTAGAACACGCCGTGCCCAATGTGTGAGCGGAGCAGCTTGCACCAGATCTCTGGCCAAGAGGACGAAATCTCCATTTCCCACTGCCGGGTCTCGGCTTCTACGGGAAAAGGTTTTGATAGCACCGTCAAGGTCAGTCTGAGCAGCTGACGGAGGTAATTCTCGCGGTAGACTATGAAGTCGTGAGTGTGGATGATGCTTAAGTTGGCTCCTGGGCCCGGAACTTTGTTGTCAGCCGGGATCGATTGCAAGACTTCGTCAGGGCTCTCAAAGTACGCATCGATGTTGCCGGTGCAGAAGTAGCACTCTCCGTCCATTATCTGAATCAAGCCTCCTCGACAACGCCCCGTTGTGCAATCCTTTGCGTGTAGATGGGCGCATCGAACCAAGTTGTTGACCCAGTGGATAAGCTTCCCGTGCGGTACTTCTTGGAAATCACGTTCAGTATTCTCTCTGTAGACATTGTCTTCTTCTTTTACCAGACGATGGCCATGAATTCTTCCGTCTGGCAGAGGGTGTCTTTTAGTTTCGCCATCGTTCGTCGTATATCCAGATGGCTTCGTGCAATAGTATCTGCGCCATAAGTTGATGCACATATCGGAGATCGGGTCTTGTCGGTGCCAGTCGAACTTGCCCTGAGGTAGGTGACGTCGTTGTAAAACTGGTAAATAGTACTGAGCACTTAGTGTTGATAGTGACTATCTGGTCTGATTGCGCAGCTGACAGAAAAGGGTTCATTTATTGTTGTTTATCCGCTCACCACTCTTATAATACTCCGGCCAAAATTGGCATTTTGACGAGGGTTGAAAGAAACGCTTGTGCTCTTAGCAGTTGCTCTTGCTGAGGCCCCGGCCAGCCGAGCCAGCCGGAACAAGGACCGCTTGTTGACGACGAAGGCAGACAAAGCTTCGAATGGAACCCGATTGTCAAAGTTTGTCAAAGATCTTTTCCCTTGCCACATTGATCCGCAAAAAAGACACCACCAGACGAAGCCCCTGCATTCCTTGAGCCCGTTGTTCTCGAAAACTCCGGTAGAGTATGGTTGACCACCCCTTTGGCAGCCCCAAGTCATTTCTTCTTTGCTTTATTTAGAAGTTTAGAAGATGCCTCGAGGTCCTAGAATAGGACGAAGAGGATCCGGGAGGTCGTGGTGTCCAAGTGCTGCGGATGGAGAGGAATGAAGAGCCAGACACCGAGTCACCAACCACTGGTGCACAGAGTGGGATGGGTTGCGATAAGTACGCAGGTGCCTTTCGGGTGCGAAATGGAGTACCAGCCGATCCTCCCTGAGCTGCGTGACGTCCCGCCAGATCTGCTTGGGTTCGTCTCCCAGCTTGAACTTCCACGTGCTCACCCAACTGATCTCTGCAAAACTGCCGGTGGCGAGGTATCGGAAAATTCCAGCGGATTCTCGCCAGGCTCCGTATAGTTCCATTGCACGGAGTGCCGGCATTTGCTTCGCGACCCTGCCAGCTTGGAATGAGGGCGTTGATGAGCTCGGGCTTCTCACGGGAGGAAACATTCTGGGATGTCATCGCCAGAACCCGCAGCCGCTGCCATGACAGAGGCGATATAGGTATGCGTCTTCGTCTCGTGCAGGCGGCGAAGAAGAGTGTGGCATCTATGATGTTGCAGCAGACGAGCTCCTCTAATTCAAGACTTCGAATGAATAGAGCTCCGGCTAAAGCTCTAGAGACTGATAGGCGTCGATTGGAGAGCATGTATAGATCGCCATGCTCGAAGATGTGGATCTTTGATAATGGTGCTTCCTCGGGGGGAGATGACCAAATTGCCAGCATCGTTATCAAGTCTATATCAGAAATCAGTGAGTTTGTCATGTCATGCGAGAATGCGAGAAGATGAAGCAGAAGGCGTTTTAGGTTTTGCTACTGTACCAATATCAGATAGGTTCTGCTCCCTTGTGTTAAGATGCCTCCAGGGTTCGAGATGAATCAAGCGTACTCTTGGTAGACAATCGGACAATAATGATGCAAGAGGGGCTAACTGTATTCTGCGCATATTTCGACGCAGGATACTCAACCCGGCGATGCATTTGACGCAGGGACTACCGGTATTTGCAAGGCGAATGGCAGCAAACACGTATCGCTTTTGTTGCTGCCAGTGGTCCAAAAGCCCTTCTATTCCGCACGGATTGCCGGCATGATTTGGCGAAGAGGCACTGATCTCCAAATTGATGCTTGGGTATGTTGGTTCGCCAGCTGAATCGACATCCTTCTAGGCTTCGAGATTATAGAATAGGGTGAATATGGCGGTGGCGAAGCATATACGGTCCTCGTTGATTTCTTCATCAGTCTGAGGTCTCGAACGCTTCTCGATGCAATGGTCCGGTAATTCAATCTTGAACCAGATGTGTCTAACGTAGCTTTGCCGCCAGGGTTTGTTATGAAATGTCATGTGTAGGTTGGTAAACGAATGTTCATCAGAACCGACTTGGAGGATCCGAAAGTTTCTTGGCTCGATGGATTCCTGCCAGTCCCTACAGATGCATGCGAATCTTCCAGGAACGTTTTCGAGAACCATGTCTCTGATCTCCTGGGGCAGGCCACTCCATTGGGGCTTGCTCCTTGATGTCTTCATCTATCTTAGTCGGATACTTTGCTAGGAGACTTGGGCGCACTTGGTGTCAGGATGGGAGCAGAGATGCAGAAGGGGGAATTTGAATGGGGTTGGCTCCATGTCGAGAGACTTCTGGGCAGCTCTACGGCCCGATGCACCAGAACTTCAAGGAAGGCCCAGTGATGCCTCAGCTCGAAAGTGAACAATGAGTAAAGAGGAAAGAGAGGAGAAGGAGAAGGAGAAGGAGAACCGAAGGTACCCAGGTAGAGAAAAGAGAGCAGGAAGGTATCCACTCTGAAATCTCGACTCCTTCCTTCCATCTTTCACATGGCCTCACCGCATCTCATCTCACCCTGCCTCCGTCTTTTCCCCCCTTTCAAGCCATTGCCAGCTGACTGTAATTGCTGACTGACATCAAACTTGAGCCAGTGGGGGAAGAGTACTAGAGAACACACCTTCTCATTAACATCTCCTTTGAAGACTGTTCCTTGCCCACTTCTGAGTAGGAAATACAATCCTACGTTTTTGTACTCCCCTGACCTCCCCTGACCTCATCATTTATTTGCTGACCTTGTACCACAGCTCACATGTCAAGCAATCGTTACAGAATACCCATCAACGATATCGACGCCACAAACACCATCAAAATCATCAAAATCATCGATGATGTCCTATGAGCACTCTCTGATCGACTTGACCAGCCATTGTGAAGATGCACTGGAGATGGACAGATGCGGTCAAACGACACCTTTGACAATTCAGAAAGCTTACCTCAGCCGGTCAGCACACACCACCCACCTGCCTTACATAAGACCTCAAACCCACACAATTAAGGGAGCGAGATCTGGATCAGTCTAGGCCCAACGAGGATTGGTGCGATTCGTGAAGGCGCAAGAATCCCTGCCCGCAGAGGTCGGAACCTTCTCCTTTCAGTCGGGGCCATCTTTGCAGATGCAGTAGGAGGGCGGGATCCCCTGACGCCTGCGACCCTTTTGCCTTCGCTTTGCTGCTGCTTTCCACCCCCGGCTGGAGCAGCAAAAAAAAAAAAAAAAGATACCTTGTCCACGGGAAATTCCACCTCATCCAGAATCTCCCCCAGAGAGACCACATTTCCCATTCGCAATCTTGTGGGAGAAAATTTCCTCTTCTCTTCTGCAGAAACTCGACAGATTCCTATCGGACGGGATACTGTCAATTCGAGACAACGAGTCAGGAGGATACTCGGGAAGGAAAGAAACGAGGTACGTGGTTGTTGTTGCTTTGCTGGCAGCTCCAGGCCACCTATGGTTCCCCACGTCGAGAGGAAAGCTCACCTGAAGCTAACAACACCTGGCATCCATTCACAGCTGCGCTTTCTCGAACCCGATACTCCTTTACCCTCCGGCCATTGCGCGCCGCCTTCCCTTTCCATTAGGATTCAACTGGACTTGGCAACGACAAGATGAAGTTCAGCAGCATCCTGTCCCTTGGCCTTTTGGTCGTCTCGCCCCTGGCTGCGGCCTGGAGCAAGGAGGGTAAGAGCATCGCCATCTTGTCTTGTCTCCGTTGCGCAGCGTTTGCTAACATGGAAAAATAACAGATCGTGAGATTTTCCGTATCCGCGATGAGATCAAGGCCCACGAGGCCAACCCCGAACAGACCTTCTACGACCTCCTCGGCGTCAAGAACGGCGCTTCCATCGACGAGATCACCAAGGCCTACCGCAAGATCTCCCGCACTCTTCACCCTGACAAAGTCCGCCAGCAGCTCATCGCCGAACGCACCAAGGCCAAAAAGAAGGAGAAGAAGACCCCTGGCGTCAATGTCTCCAAGCCTCCCACTCAGAAGGAGATCAAGGCCGCTGTCAAGATTGCCTCCGAGCGTCAGGGCCGCCTCAGTCTCGTGCGCAACATCATCAGCGGTCCCGACCGCGACCGCTACGATCATTTCCTGAAGAATGGCTTCCCGGCCTGGAAGGGCACCAATTACTATTACAATCGGTACCGTCCTGGCTTGGGCACTGTGCTCTTCGGTGTCTTCCTCGTAGCTGGAGGTGCCTTCCACTACATCGCTCTGTACATGTCCTGGAAGCGTCAGAAGGACTTTGTCGAACGCTACATCAAGTTTGCGCGTAATGCTGCATGGGGAGACAACCTGAACATTCCTGGCATCGACGACTCTCCCGCCCCTGCTCCTGCTTCGCCCGCTGCCGACGATGAGGAAGGCCCCCAGCTGCCTAGAAACCGCAAGGAGAGACGTATGCAGGAACAGATGGCTCGTAGAGAGGCCGCCAAGGAACGCGGAGGTCGATCCCGCAAGCCCGCTCCCGCCGCCCGCAGCAACAGCGGCAGCGGTGCCGCCACCCCCCGGGAGACGGTTGCGCAGACCGGTCAAACCGGTCCCACCGGCTCCAAGAAGCGCGTTGTCGCCGAGAATGGCAAGATTCTTGTGGTTGATTCCCTCGGAGACGTCTATCTCGAAGAGCAGGATGAGGATGGCAACACCGAGCAATGGCTCCTTGATGTAAGTGCCCAGAATGCAAGCTAAGCTTGACAACCTACCGCGACAGGAGGTCTGCGAACGATGCTAACTCAAAGTAGCCCAACGAGCTGCCTCAACCCACCATCCGTGACACCGCGCTCGTACGTCTCCCCATCTGGGCCTACAACCGCACTGTCGGTCGCGCCCTCGGCAAGAACAATGCTGAGCTGGAGATCGACACCGAGGACCTGGACTCTGATGACGGCGAGATCCAACACACCCCTAGCTCCGACTCTGCCGCCGATGACTTTGAGCTCTTGGAGAAATCAACCGATTCGTTGGGCAAGGCCAAGGCTTCTGGTGCGCAGACTGGAGGCAAGTCCAACAAGCGTAAGAACAAGAAGCGTTGAGGCATTGAGCCAAGAAATGGCCGATGAATAGAGCTTCACGGCCGGCCTCTCTGAACCCTCTGACGGGTTTTGCGGCCTTGGATGGTCTTGAGGATCAGGCAAGCGACCCGGAGGTGCATGATGCGCCATGAAGCTGCAGCCAGTCTCGTCATTTATGTAGATTATCCATCAATGCAAATTCTCGTACAAAGTACAATAGGAGACCATAATGTTGAAGGTGTCAGTGTGCTGCATCGTGCATCTTGCATCGGGGGACGAGGTTCCCTGAGTGTGTGTACTTCACAGCCGGGCCGTGACAGATTCATCATACGGGTATAGTTGTTTCCATTCCATTTCTTCACACCATCGTCCTCGAGCACCGGAGGAAAGGCCCAATGCGGTTAATGTTTCCCGTCAAACATGTCGCGACCCTGCGCAAGTGCGAGAGGCCGTTTCCTGCCCCTCTGCACCTCGTAACTCTGTTTCGTCCCTTCCTATGGCATCATGGCTGCATGATGATTTGTTGGCACAGAAGATCAAGTATCGCTCGGTGGTTCGTCCCCTTGACGCAGCGGCGATAGCACCAACACACCAACACCACCACCATCAGCAACAACCCTCGATGATACATCACAGTCAGTCAGCCAGTCAGTCACAGGCACGACAATAGTCTTGACTCGACTCTTTCGTCGGATCCCAAGATAATCAGTCCACCTCTCCTATCTTTTCGTCTATATCCGTACCATACAACGAATGTTTCCTTACACCACAACCACCACCACCCAACCTCTCAACTATCGGCCTGAAACATAGGAGATCCTATGCCAAAAACAGACCAGTCGTACCTGGTTTATACCCAAAAGAAACTAAACCCGCAAGCCAAGCGCCCACCCCGCTCTTCTACGATCTACGGCGACGACCAGGGCTCGAGCGCGCCGCACAGCAACCACGCAACCCAACGCTCGAGCCGCATGGTCGCCCGTTTCCGAGCCGGTTCCAGCTTCGCGGCCCCATTGACCTGATGATTCCTTGCCCTCACCTCTTCTACCACGCTTTAGCGTCTGTTCGCCAGAGACGCCATTTGAACCGCTAGATGGAAACCCTATCTCAATCAAGACGCTACCTGCGTTTTTCCTGCGCTTCTGACTGGCGAACATGTCGTTGCCTTCAAGGCCGTTCCCTGTCGACCTTTGGATAGATCCCAAGGTTGCCTCCCACCCCTCTGAGCTACGCAGCAATTCAATAACCTTCGCCAGCTTCGTCCCACCATTGAGCCCGTTTCTTCACCATACACACATGGATTCTTCCCAACACATGAGCCGCTTTTCCAAGATCCTCGAGGGCGTCGGAGATTGTATTCGGACCTTGTTGGACGAGCGTTTAGTGACGATGGTCCCGCCCGCTACCGTTATCTAGACTCGTGTGTTCAGGTCGCCCGGCTCTCCACACCCGGGACACTAAGCTATTCTTAAGACGGGCTTGTACATCGAGATATGAGGCTACCCCTAAACCTATCTGCCACTTCGGTTGAGACGTTCTTGATATGTATATTGAGTAGCCCCTCCCTTGACCCTGACGGGTCCGTTTTTCTCCCCGTCGTCCGCTCTGTGTCTCCCCCGGTCTTGTCCCGTCGACCTGGATCACACTCTGCACATCCCACTTTACCAAGCTGTAGACGACGATCCAATGTCACCCTCGTCATGACGCCCACGTGAAAGAAGGAACCAAACAACACCGCCTACTAAAGAAATATTCGTGGATGCTTCGATCCCATCATGGAGGATCGCAGCGGGCAAGTGCTGGCCGTGGCGGTCCTCTTCTTCATATTATGTTGGATCGCCGTCGGCCTGCGCATATACTGCCGGGGCTGGATTACACGCTCTCTCGGCACAGATGACAAGATGATGATTGCTCTCATGGTATTTCCCTACAAGAGATTACACGACAAGCAAGAAATACATTTTGACTAACTGTTGGCAGCTCATCTTCACCATCTACCTCATCACTCAAATTCAAGGAGTTCGATACGGAACCGGCCGACATAGAACTGATCTCACTCCGGAACATAATCGAGACGCCCTCATGGTATAGCCCACTTGGAAGCCCTCGAGTTAAGATAATTGCTGCCAACAGATCCATGACTAACATTCTCTCTAGTACTGGTACATCTGCGAACTACTCTACATCATATCGACCTGCCTTCTAAAAATCTCCGTCGGGTATTTCCTCATCCGCGTGTCTATTCGCCGCAGCCACATCTGGATGCTCCGCATTCTCATGATCGGGACCGTACTTTTCGGCTCGACGTACTTCTTCATGGTCATGTTTCAGTGCCGGCCAATCCAAACATTTTGGGAGGAATCACCACGCACGGAAGGAAAGTGCTTCAACAACCGCGTGGTTATAATCATGACTTTCACGGCCTCGATTATTAACTGCCTTGCCGACTGGGCCTTTGGTATCCTCCCCTTATTCATTGTCTGGTCGCTCTCCCTCCCAAAGCGCACCCGACTCCTAGCGTTCGGCATTCTCTCTTTTGCTGCCATCGGATCCGCCGCAACCGTGGCAAGATCCGTATACATACCGACCCTCCTCGATGGCGACGATTTTCTATGGGCGACTACCGACGTGGCTTTGTGGAGCACCGTCGAGCCTGGTATAGGCATCACTGCCGCATCGATTGCCACCCTTCGCCCTCTGTGGCAACTCATGTGGTACCGTGCGGGTATGCGGTCTCAAGCGCCTCGTCAGATAGCATGGCGAGAACGATTCAAGGGGCAGCCGAGTTATGTTCGTAGCGACGGCTCAGACCCTCGTCACCCACGACACCCTGTGCCAGACGACGCACCCCTGGAAGAGATTGAAGCTGATATCCGGGCCGAGTTTGAGGCGGAGGTGCCTCGTATTGCTCGCTCCCAAGATGGCTACAGCTCATCGGCACCGACAAGACGGAGTGGCTTGAGTAAGGACTTCAATATCGCATACGGGAGAGAGAGACACGATGAAGACGTGGAGTCTTTGGTTATTCCACGCGATGACGGCGATGGTGGCCAATGGCTTTGCCCATCCCCCCGCGAAGTAAGTTTCTCCTCTTCTGAAGTTACCCCTTTATCAGACTAGACGAGGACTAACAGTTGCGCAACAGGGAGACCACTCGATTGAGCTAGAAGACGGCGTCCACTTGTCACCGAAAGTGAGATCACCCGCGCCGACAGTGAACTGGTGTTCACCTCGCATGTCGGCCATATCGATGGGATTTGGCTCCTTCAACCGAGAGAACCGCGACTCGACACATTCAGCCCTCACTCTTGGCGTCAACGACTACGACAGCACAAACCACCCCACGAGCAACCGAGCGAGCAGGCTAAGCAGGCTGAGCAACGTCAGCAACGTCCACGATAACAACAACCGAGCGAGCAGACTGAGCACCCTCAACAGCCCAGGCCACCACTACCGAGACAGCAGAATGACCAAGGAAACGTACACGAATACGAACCAGCGCCACAGCAGGTTCGACAATCGATATAGTCGGACGACGAGAGCTAGCAGCCACTACACGCGCGGCTCGCAGTTCCTGGCGCCGCCTTCCCCCGGGGACTTTCCCATGCCTAGCCCTCCTCCGAGTGCGTGGCAGATCAACGTCCCTGGAGGTATGGACTCGGCGCAGTGGCTTTCGTCTAGGATGGCCGAGCACCCCGGTCATCCGGGCAATAAACGATAGGCCGCTTCTACCGCTTTTCCATCACTATTTAGACAAAATATAACATACCATACCTAATTATCGACGACAACATATACCCGACGCACAGGATACCACCACTACTTGGCTTTATTATGGAAAGGAGGAGACACGCGAGAGAGAATTGGCTCATGGAGACGGGGAAAATCAACCAGGCTAGTTCGCCACGGTCTCATCTATGGGAGGCAAATATTTCGAGGGAGACCAGAAAAAAGGAAAATGCCAAAGGAACAGTATGGCATATGATGTATGATGCATAGACCTGATATGCCTAAGTACCAAGGTATATCAATAACTTAATTTTGATTTAATTCAACCAAGCTTAGACATGTGAATAGTTGCTGCTACTATGTCCTACCTACGTTCCTCAGTGGAACCCCCGGGTTGAGTTAACTACCTAGGAAGCCGGGCCATCATGTGGTGAGGGACAAGACTCGGCAAACACAAGCTATGAGAAACCAAAATACCTCGAAGGCTCCTCAAAAGAAGTCGTCTCATAGTCCTCAAAGGACCTCATACACCTCGTCGTCTCTACCATCTCGGGTCACAGTATTCAGGGGCAGCACAGAGAAGGACAAACTTTACCCCAGATAAGCGAAAAGGGGTTCCCAAGTGGGACATAACACAGAGCCTTGGAACACCGTAGTATATCATCATCGAAATGCTAGCAACCATGCCACTTCACCACGTCACCATCTTCATTTAGCTTGAGTTTGAATGTAATGTTTTATTGTTTTGGTAGTCCTGTTCGTTCCTCATGCCTGCCTATTGGTATACGGCCAATTGCTTATTCATAACCTTCTTGACAAAAATAGAAATCAAAGACAAAGAAAACTGGGGAAGAAACACGTCTGCCGGTGAGAGGCAATCCAATAGCTGCCCCCCTGATTATCCGACGTTTGTCTTCCCATGCAGTGTAAGTGACAAGACAAGTGTCTGCTGCTATGCTGAAAAAGTGGCGTGCCGTGGCTTTCTTTCGTCGTCGCATTACATATCCATGGCCTCAATGTTGCCGCTTCCGTAGTGCTGGAAGGCGCCGTACTGGTTCTCCATCTGCATCTGCATCTGGAGGCTCTGCTCGCGGGCCCAGTCGTCGCCGAAGCCCTTGTAGACGGGGTCGGTGGCCGGCTTATAGCCGCTGGTGCCAACTGCGGAGCCGTAGTGGGAATAGTTGTTAGGGGGAGAGGCCTGCGCCAGCTCCTGCTCGCGCTCGTACTCACGACGCATAAGCTCCTCGTAGCCAGACATCATATACGGCTCGACTTGCGAGGTGATGGAACTTGCCAGCCAGCGGCTATCGTCTGACTGAACTTGGGTACCGTCGAGGCTCATTACGGCGTTCTGCTGCTGCTGCTGCTGCTCCTGTTGCTGCTTCTCTGCTTCCATGCGCTCATATCGAAGTCTCGCCAGCTGCTCCTCTTGCTCGAGCGTTGTGCTTGTCCATGCCAGCGACGGGTTCTCTGTGCTCGAGGTGGGGGGTGCGGCGCGCCAGATCTCAAGAAGTCGCAGCTGGTGGGCTTCTTCGGAAATTCGGAAAAG